CACACACACACACACACACACACACACACACACACACACACACACACACTGCTGGTGTTTTCTGAGTACAGCACCTGTGCCTACATGGATGCCATACCATGTGCTGCCCTGTTTCAGGGTTTTATTATATATCCCTTGGTTTTCAGAAGGGTTTTATGTTGAAAAGATATTTTTATGCTTTTAATAATGTCCTGTAATCATGTTTTTTTGTTTTTGTTCTTTTTATATCATGGCCTTTTTTTGTTTGTTTTTTGTTCCCTTATCTAAACTGTAAATTATACATTACACAGAGTTTCATTTAAAGATTTACATGGAGCTATAATTATTGTAATTATTGAGAGATGTAGCCTTTATTAAAGTTTTATATTTTTCAAATTAAAGCAGATGGTTCTGGAGTTTTTATTATGAATTCATGGWGTGAAATATTTATTTATTTTCTCGAAGGATTTCCACTCAGTTTGGAGAAAAATAAAAATAAATTCTTGGGAAAAAATGTGCATGCAAGCGTTGGATTCCTTTCTCATGTCAGAATTTTTAGTTTAAATAATGACCTCAATCATCAGAATGCTTTTCTGATTGAATATAAAGTACAGGCATGTAGTACTGTGCAAAAGTTTTCAAACCATCTCTAATTTAGTTATAATCTGATCTGCAGATATTTTACCCTGGTTCTATAATATARCCTGCTTTAATATTTGATCCTGTCGTGTAACAAAGATTTATAAAATGAACCTCATGATCTTCACAGATCTAAACTCTTTATAAAAAAAGTATTTTCAGAATTAATGAATTTTAAAACAACTGTTCATAGAGATAAACACAAAAACAGTAAAAAGCACAAAAAAATTAAATTAAATCATAAAATAAAACCATTTAAATGATGTAAAGAAGAACTGAGCTCTTGGTGTTGCCCAACATGGCTGATGCTGAAAAACCAGTCATATAAACCATTTTATGTTTCACAAAGTTTTCATTTCATCGCTGACGCTCCTCCAGCCTGAGGCGTCTGAGCATCAAGCCTCAGGGTGTCTGAGCAGTGTGCCGCTTCCAGTTCTGGTCAGAGACCCCTGCAGCGTCACATCAGACCTCCTTGTCCCACCTAAACAGATACAGATGTTCTGGAAGTGACTGAAACTATCGTACAGCAGCCACACGTGTAGTAAGTGTTTAACCTGTTGTTAGATACAGTTTCTGCTTCAAGATAGAGAAAAGGAAGCTGCTGCCAGCATCAAGTATGTGAAATAAAACATGACTAAATGAACCAAAATCAATGAATTAAAACAAAAATTAACTTGAATAAAATGCATTTCATACCTGTTAAAGCTAAAATAAGTCAAACACTGAAAGCTAAAATAAGCAAAACATTAGCTAAAAGTAGCAAAAAGAATAGAGTCCTAGCTAAAAGAAGCAATAAATTAGCTAAAATACTGACTCAGCATTAATAAGTCCCGTTTCAGGGTTAATTAAAAACCAAAAACAAGTTTTAAAGAGAAATCACTACGAGTCCCTCYGCGGGCCGATGTTCTGAACTCGCCTCTTAAACAGGAGACATTAAGCAGCTAAATGAAGCCACGAGCTAATTGGTGCTATTAAAGAGCAATGAGGACCAGCATCAGTGTCTGTAAGTCAACACAGACATTAATGAAAGCCCCTGCTTCCCCCATCAGAGGGCCCCACCGTGTTTGCTTCAATTATCTAGCTTTACATCAGCGTTGGGGGAAAAAAAATCATTTAATAGCAGGGAAATAATTCAGTCCTGGGGAGTGTGGGGCCGTCTGCAGCGTGCAGATGAATCAAGTCAAAATGTTCACATTAAACAGGCCTGCAGTTAAAGGCAGGAACGTTTACATCATAAAGACTAATCTGATTACTTATCTTGTTTCCTTCTTTCCCTTTTGGAACACAACACAAAAAGGACACAAGCTGCCAATAATATATCTTAGATCTTAGATCATTTTGGGTTTCTCTGCCTTCCTAAAGACTTTACACACTTCTTAGATAATAACAGTTTGCAGCTAAACAGTTTGAGGCACTGGAATCATCCCAGAAGTCTTGGAGAAGCAGCCATGGAAAGCTGCAGACCCACAAATGGGTGGAACAGAAAGCATGAATGGACAYACCTGGATCACGTATTCTAGTTACGTATCTAAAACTCTGATAACTAGATAATAATGATTAATTCAGGCTGAAGCAGCTAGTTCATGTTGAACAGTCAGTAAAATATTCTCTCTAAGTCGCATCGTAACATTTTCATTCACCTGAAAAGGCAGAAAATGACCTGAACTGCTGCAGTAACCAGAGGTGAGGACTCAAGACACGTGACTTGGACTTGAGTCACACTCAAATCATTAATATCATGACTTTAGATTTGACTTGAAAAAATGTTCGGAGACTTGTGACTTGACCTGGACTTGACCCTGTTTACATGAAAAGACTTGATCTTTTGCCTAAAATCTAAAGTTTAATAAACATTATTTATAAAACAGACCAGTATTTATTTCACTCGTTCCGTATTAACAAAGGCGGACCGTCTGGCTGTTTCCACACTCTGTATGTGTGCATGAGCTGCAGCACAGCAAATCAAATTAACCAGATTTCTATAAATGGAAAACTGTTTAATGAAGACCATTTTTGCAGTTCAGTTTATTTGAACTGTGCGACACAGAGGTGTAATTTAAAATGATTTTTTAAATACTTTGTAAGCTCAGCTGCACGTTTCAACACGATTTGAGATAAATACAAACTATAAAAAGAGCACACATTTTATGATTTACATTTAACATTTAACTGRAACATTGTTTAAAAAAGACTTGAAAGTACTTGAAATTCCAAGTTTCAGTCTTGGGACTCTGACTTGATTGTCTTTGCTTGAGACTTGACTCGGGACTTGATAAAGACATGAGACTTGCAAAACAATGACTTGGTCCCACCTCTGGTAGTAACTATGCCAGGCCTGTGTGTGGTGCTGTAACAATGCCAAGAATATACTTAAAAAACAGGAAACAAGGCGCGGAGCACGCTTTTAAAGCTGACACGTTGGATGACCTGTAAATAAACATGAATCATAAACTTTAGATTCTGCTGTTTGCTGTGGTGGGCACAGTACCCCTAAAGCACTAAAGCACTAARAYGGGAACMAATTTCCTGATTAGTGCTTTAGGGCTTTTGCTAATTTTAAAATTTATTAATGGATTAGCACTTGCTAAATTTATAGGCTAAATTTAGAAGCACTAACTGAGGTCTTTAAAMGTCATTGATRAACGTTAATGTTAACAGCTGAGGGTGAAAACTGTCACATTTTGTTCATATGTGTGTCGCTGATCCACCAGGTGACAAAATATGAACCAAATACKGCTGTAGAATGTCAATGATAAGTCTTAAGAGAGCAACATGGCAACATGTGACTTGTGGATTGATGATGACTTTGTCACATTAAACTACAAAAACCAGAAATGTGCAGGACAATAAAAAACGGTTCCTGTGTGAACGGGGTCTCCATCTAGCCCAGTTTTATTGTTACAGCCTGCTGGGGTCTCCGGCTTTGAAGGGAAACCTATCCATGAAGACAGGTTAGTTTTTCTCCTCAGCAAAGCGTTGATAGATGGACACTGACTGCTGCCTTCTCTTTGCTCGGGCTCCACTTGTCTACACAAACCTGTCTTCCTCTGGTCTCGCCTCTCGGTCCCTCTGTGACATTCTGGTCCTGAAAAAAAAAGGTGCTTTGTTGAGGTGCAGGTGCTGCTTTCACAGAAATTTCACTTCCATTTGATGCCTCTGACCCCTTTTCACTTACAAATCGAAGCACAAAAAATTCTCTCACCGAGTCGTTTTTATTTATTTATTTATTTAGCCAGCGGTGAGCATTTCTTTGGTGCACATTTGATTTTATAAACATCTTTTTATCTCTCCCTTATGTCCCGCGCATCATTTCCATCGTGGCGGTGTTTTCTCCTAATGGTGGCTTTTATTTCTTTTGCATTGTGGTAATTGGCGTAGCGTGGTTGGGTCTATTGTAAACATGGCTATGTGAGACCGGTATAAAGCGACACCAGACGCTCCRTAGGCTAAGCTAGTGCGTGGAGCAGGCAGGGGCTGCTGCCTATTGTGCCTCTGAAGCCTTTGTAGATTTGCAGTGGGGCCCCTTTTTAATCGCCTTCTCATGCACTGCCTGTCGCCTCACTTTGCATATTTAATTGCCAGGTAAA